GGGGGGCAGTGCTAATGCTCCTGGTGCCGGGCCAAGAAAACGGGCAAACCCAGGTCTCCCTCCTTTTCTCAGTGCCCTGCCTGTGGGCATTGTTGTGGCCCAGGCCAGCAGAGTGAGGGTCAGACTGAGGGGGAGAGCAGGAATTCTTAGGGCGGGAGAAGTCACTGGATTCCACTCCCTTCTCCCCCCAACACTGACCTCTCTGGAGAAAAGGATCATGCCCAGATGCCAAGACATGTGCCCACTGTCCCTAGGTCTGCTGCTGGGCAGGGACCCAGGCTGCCCATCACGTGACCACTGAAGACCCCATGAGATGTTTCTGAGGAAGGGGATGGATAGAGAGAAGAATACAGTTGGCATTGGAGGGTTAAAAAGGCCACCCATCAGAACCAGAAAAGCCTCGCCCTGCCTAAGAAGCAGGAGTCCTCTGTGAAGGGAGATTTCTAGGATGTGACAGGCCAAGAACTCTCCCATGAGACCCATATCTAGGAGGCAACAGTGTGAGGAGAAAAAAACTCAAGGGTGGAAATCAGGAGACCTGGTTCTAACCCCATCCTGCTACTACTCAGCTGAAGGGCTCTGCACATGTCCCAAGACCACTCTGAATTGATTCTGAGGTGCTTTCTGGCTGAAGAGTTGGGACTCTGTCTAGGCTCTTTCTGGACCTTACTTAGTCTGCCTTGCTTGAGGGGGCAGTTGCCTCATGCCTCCTAGTTACCTCTTCCTTTTCCTGTCAGCTCAGATGCCTGTACCTCAAGGATCACTATCCCCCAAATGCAGAGACACTTCTCAGCCTCCTCAGAGGACCTCTCCACCCCTCTTCTCACCTTTCCCTTGAATGGCTCTGCCTCCCTGGGGCCCCAGGGCCCACAGCAGACCCTGATGGTGTTGGAAGCCAAGATTGCTGTTTCCACAGCCCATTATTTCAGAGGAGGAGGTGGTCCCCTGCCATCAAGCCAGCTGGAGCTGTCACGATTCTGCATCAAGGTCTGGATTCCTGAGTTTTAATTGGGACATGGACCAACTTTGCATATTCCTAGGATAGCATCCAGGATGAGGAAGACTTAGGAAAGCATGAAGTTCCAAGTGGTTCATGAAGGACCTAAACTATGGGGACATGATGTCTAGGAGGGAATGGAGGTGATACAGACAAATTTGTCCAGTTTCTCCCCACTCTAACATAATGTGATCTATTTGAAGAATGCCATGTATCCTTATCTCATCCAGGCTTAGGATGCCAGGCTTAAACCAATGGAGAGAAGCCCCAGAGAGACAGAGCTGGGAATCAGGCTCAGTAAGATCTTCATCTAATTCACTAAAAATTTAATGAGCTGTGTGTCAGGCATAGTGATGGGCATTGGAGGTACAGAAATGAACAAGGCAAGCAGCTTGCAGTGTGAGCAGTTGGGAGTCCCACGGAGCCTCCTCAGCTTCTCTTTATCCTAACATTCATTATAGTTACTACCGCCTGACCATGTCATCAGTGCTCACCAGCAATAACAGAGTATACAGCTCCTGAGGTTAGGGGCCACATATTGTTTGACCTTGTCTCCCCCAACACCTAGCACAGTCCCTGGCTTGAAATGGCCATCCATTAATTCCCTGTTGAATGAGTGAATGAACAAATGAATGAGTAAAAGGCTGTATAGTGAACGTACGTCCATGTAAAACGAGGTGCGCCTAGTGGGAGTAAGGCTTAAGCATGAAACTCTACTTGTGCCACCGAACTGGAGCTACCTTCCTTGGAAGGCTGCCTGTCCAGTGGGGAGAATAACTGCAGCCTGACACACACACCCCCAACCCCTCTGGTTCAGAGCCCATAGTAGAAGGAGTGGAGTTCCAGTTCCATTTGGAACCAGCCAGGTTTTATCTGACGACCTCAGGTGAAGATGCTACCCTTCTTGGGATGTAGGACTCAAAAGGTTTGTGGCATCGACTTTGGGCCAGATGGGTGGAGTGCCTGGGATACTGCACTCAGAGAGAGCAGAGAGGCAGAAAGAGAGCAAAGGGAAGGCAAGACTCCTCTTCCACTCAACACTTCTTCCGGTTCCCTCTTCAAATCTTTCTGTGTAGGAATATAATATTTTATTGGAAAGGAGAAGGGTGGAACAAGTTGTTACAGCCTAAGAGGCAGGTGTCTTCACTCATCCCTCCCCCGAAGATGGCTGTATCCAAGCAACTGGACTTGCTCTGCTCTCTTTTCCCTTTCTTCTCTGTCTTCTCTCTACACCCTCGCTCCACCACAGCACCATGCATTGACCCTTCTCCTTCTCTGTCCTATCTCAGAGTTGTGCCTGTTTAAGGCCTAGCTCAGAACCCTGTCCCTCATCAAGCCTTGCCTACCATACCACAGTCAATTCTCCCTTTCCCTGAATTCTGCAAGCCCCAGGGACTCAGAGGCTAGAGGCATGGGCTTTGGAATCAGATAGAACTAAGCTTGAAACTGCTTTCTAAATTTACGAACTTGGGCATGTTACTCAGCTTTTCTAAGGAGAGTGTAATCATATCTATCTCATAGCTTGTGAAGATTTAATGAGAATATACATGTAGAGCACTTGACATATAGTAAACACTCAGTGGACATTAGTGCTATTGTCTATGGGCTGTCTGAACTTGCTGACACCCTTGCTGTGCCTTGGGCTGTTGACCAACATCTTAGTCTTCCAGATCTTACTTCTTTTGTTGAGTTATAGTATGCTTAAGAAAGGGACCTCTCTTCACTGTGCATAGCAGGGGCTTATGCCAAGAAGGAATATTAGATGAATAAATTGATTAGCTAATTACACTTTTTTGGGATCCTTTTTGAGGAACAGAACTTTTCAATACATGGTAAACTTGGCTTCTTTTCTGAACACAGTGGCTTTGAGATTGGTTATTTGGGGACTTTTCATCTCTGGCTCTACCTAAGCCTCCCATGACTCCTCGAGGGGCAGATACATCTGTGTAGACTGCCCTACCTAGTATTTCTCAGGATGGGCTGGTACTTTTAGTAATAAGTAATTCTAAAAAAAAGTTAGCTATTAATCTGGCCTATTTTGTTGACACAGGGGCTCAAGATATAGTGAAGACACAGGGAGATATCTGACTTTCCTTTTCTGGAGAACCAAGGAAGCCAAGAACATTCTGTGCTATCTTTACAATAAGAAGTAGCTTTTCTTTTAAAAGACAGCTGCTTCATTTTCAAAGGTTAAATAGAATTGTTCTTAAAAAATAATTCCAGCTAGTAAACTTTAGGGCCCTGGAGAAAAATATCCAATTCAAGCATATACTCTAAGTCCACAGCATTTCCTCATGACTGTCAAGTGAATAATTTTCATTTACTCTCAGGCCTGATCTTGGGTATTGTCATCCTCTTTGATGAGGTTGGCAGGTATTCTGTGACTCCTGATGGTGCTGTGTTGCCTCCCCATCCCCACCCTTCCTCCTTGCCAGGGGTTAGGGAAAAAAATCTCTGTAATAGTTGCCACCAAAATATATCTTTCGCCCAAGCACATTGGGTTTTTAACTCAACATTTCTACATTTTAACCCCACGAAACTTCAAGCTCCCCAACCAAAATGAGTCAGAAATTTATTTTCTTTGTTCATTCACTCATTCATTTATCCATTTATTCAACAAATTGGGTGCTTACTATCTGTCAGGAACTGTGCTAGGAGCTAGGAATAGGAGTGAGAGCAAAACCAGACACCATTCCTGCCTTCCTGAAGCCTGTGGTCTAAGTGGGGAGATGGAATTAGCTGAGTAATTGTGTGAGGGTATAATTCTAAACGAGACAATGAGATAGGAGACCTGAAGGAAAGGAGTGCTATTCTGTGAGATCATATCACTGAGGAACCTGTCCTAGATGTGGAGTCTGGGGTCAGGGAAGGTCTCCCTGATTTTGTGATGGTGTTTGAACTGGAATCTGAAGATTAGCAGTAGTTAACTAGGTGGAGGTGTGGGTGGGAGGGTTGTAGTCAGAGGGGACAGCACATGTGAGATCCTATGGCAGGAAGCACCATGGTTTATTTGAGGGACCATAAGAAGGTCAGTGTGGCTGTAGGATAAAGACCATAGGGAGCAGGGAGGAAAGGGAATGAAGTGAGGCTGGAGACTGAGTTAGGGGCCAGATTCTGTGGGTGGGACCTTGTAAGACTAGGGTCTTTATTGTAGGAGCAATGGGAAGTTAGGGGTTTTAAGTGTGTGTGTTGGGTGGGAGGTTGGGTTGATGAATGACAGATTTTCATTTTCAAAGATTACCTTTTATTGGTAGGATTTGCAGTGGCTTCTGTCACTACAGAAACCATCTCTGACCTCCACCAGGCTAAATCTCAGCCTTCAAACCCATCTTTCCAAATAAAATAAGAAGACATTGAGTTCTAGAAAATACCATTTTCTCTTTCACTGCACATTTAAAGGTATTTGAAAAATAGAACCATGACTAACATTTAGACAGTTCAGCTATCATGATACTAGCTGGAGTTTTTGTATGATACCCAGCAGGTATTT